GTTTCTATCAACCCGTCCCCTTGTAAATAAAACTCTTTAGACTTTCCTTGAACTATCCTAATTTGAGTGTTTCATTTGTTTCTTGTTAAGTATTACTGGGTTTGAGAGGGGAGAGGGGATGTTTTTAAAACCAGCTTGTTGATGTAAACTAATCTCTAGTTAGTAAAATGAAGCCAACAGTTGTGTTTTGATTTTTTTTTAAGGTTGAAGTTCATTCTCTGGCCCATTCATAGACCAGTCTGATAATTTTCACCCTCCTACAATGTCTGAAAGATTGTACTCCTTGGTCTATACCAATTCAAACCTTGATTAGGTTTTATTTACTAGAATTAAAAACACATCTCAAGTCTAACATGACTTCAGGAATAATTTACCCAAATCATATGATTCCCCCCAAAATACATGCCCTGTAGACACAATATGGATTGTTTCCTCCAACTTTTTGGAATGATTGACTTTAAATGACCCTCAAAGGGCCAGTCTCATTTACACTCATGAGAAGATTCTGCTATAACATGAGCATATCAAATCCAGGCAGCATTACTGGATCCCCGTGAATTCCCAAAAGAAGAATGACCAGACAAGCAAGGAAATGGCTCAGCCAAGTAGATTTAGCCATCCTCAGAACACGTTCTAACTCCAAGAACAGTGGCCTTTGAGGAAGTTACACCTCCAGCGCACTTGACGCGTCTTTTTATATTGTCTGTTACAGAGGATTTTTTTCCTTTGACCTGATTTTGTAATCACTTTGCTTAGCCGGCACCATATTTGAAAATCTAGAGGTTTTGATTCCACCATAACTCCTGAAAATACAGATGTTCTTCTTATTCAGATACAGCAAATGTCTAATTCTTGCCTCTAAATAGTCTAGGTTAATTTGCTCTCTTGATATCCCATGGCAGCAACTTCTACAGCCTAATTCCATGTTACACTGGAAAAAAAAATTCTCTTTGTGTGAAACCTGACTTCTAAGTTAAACTAAGTGAGGGAGGGAAATAGGTGTTAGAGTTTACCTTTCCCCCAAATAAATGTTACCTGAGTTAATGGTCTCAGGAGAAAAGGTAAGCACATCTCGCTCTCCATGAAGCCAATCCAACATGTATGTATCATCCAGTAAAAGCTGGCTCTGTAAAACATATACAGAGAATCTTGTATCTCTGTATATAAATCACGTTTCTGCTGTGTGACAAGTTGTGTCCAGGCAAAGCTTATTACAAATTCTGTTTGAAATCTCGAGAAGGAATGGGAAAAAAAAAATAACAACAGCTTTGTGGAGCTACACTCAGGAAATGACTTGAACTCACTCCAATTTTAAAGTTCCATTCTAGACAGCAAGCAGCTCAAACTCCATTTTCTGGGGGAACTGCCCTTACAGGGAAGGTGTGGCAAAGCCATCTGCTGCTTTATAGTAATGGTTTGCAGCCTTGTTTTTCTGGTCCAGCTATGAAATTGCACTAATCACAGAAACAGACTGGCCAGGAAGCGGTGGATGCCAGATACAAGTGAATTTAAGCCCACATGTATTGAAGCTGCAAGCTTAGTTTGCAATTTATGTGCAAGTGGTTTTATATTTATTGATCTGGACCAAGTGCAGGTCCTATAGGGGAAATATGACAGATTTCATCTGTCTGACAGCCAAGTCTAATTGTATTTTCAGTCTGAAATGACCAAAGACAAAAGTGCACATGTCGAGAGCCTTCACTTGGGTGCCATATGGAGTATTCGATTCAGGGCTGTGGTCACTGTAAGTGTTCATTTTAATAACTAGACACAGACTGCATCCTGAACAGCTAAAACAAGAGAGGTGAGAGTTTTTAATTCGAGTCTGAATTAATAGACCATCTGATTCTGCCTGAATGTGGGTGGGCCATGAAAGTATGCCTTTTATAGACCTGATCGAGGGGAATTTAAAAGATGTGTCATATATTATTGATTCCTCTAGACCATGAAACTTCCGAGCCAAAAGTCAAATACTTCCCACAATGGTTATCATTAAAATTATAACCAGTACTTCTGGGAAGGCCTGGTATCTTAAAATCAAAAACATATTTTATAACCTTGCTTTCTAGTCAGGAAGACTAATTGTGCCTGTGAGAATGGTGATCTATGATTTCTCTGACTGTACCTCTCTGTCTCTCTGTCTCTCTCTCATCATCATCATCATCATCATCATCACATCATCACAGAATATTGCACAGACACTTCGTTAGGAGCCCTTCTATAACTAAAGGGACCATAGACAATGAAACATACGTCAAAAGAGTATCGCCTGATACGCAGCGATCCAGAGGCTGCGTCCTAGTGATACATCATTCTGAATTCTGAATTCTGATTGGCAAATCTTTTAACAGGAACATTTGACACTGTAGATCTCTCCTGCTTCATGGCTTCAACAACACCACACTAGGCAAACTCTCTTTCCCTCTGTCACTCTCTCTCTGCCTTCAGGAACAGCTGCCTTTGCCCTAACTATGCACATGGTGTAAGAGACCACTTACTGGCTGTTTGATTACGGGCAAGTTACTCACTTTCTCTGATTCTGTACTGATCACCTTCAAAAATGGTTCCAATACCATGTCATCATGGATGACATGGAGGGGTGTTATAAGGATTAAATTAGTTAACATATATTTAAAAACTAAAATGTACTCTAATGCCTGGTGGAAGTAGGTGCCCAGTAAATGCGAGCTTACCTTCCTGTCTCCCTTCTACCTTTAGACTGCCTCGAGGAACTGTTTTCTCTTCATTGCTTCATCTCCCATCTCACTCTTCATCTTCCAGAGGCACATCTTCAACCCCTACTCCTCATCTATTATTCACTCTATTAACCTAATCAGTATCTGTTCATCTATTATCATCCCATATTTCCCCAAATCCCAGGGCTTGACTCTTCTGTCAGTGCCCCAAGTTCAACATAATAAAATCAGGCTTACTGTTAAATCCACCCCAACCACACTGCCCTGTTGTCCTGCATCCACTCTAGCCCCCCTCTCCCTCCTCCCCTCTTGTTGAATTGAATCACTATTCTCTCACTCTTTCAGCCTCAAAACCCTTAGATGATGGTGCTCCTTCTTTATCCCTGACAACCAGTCAGCCACCAGATCCTGCTACATTTCATGATCTTTCACATTCATCTCTTCTCTGTTACCAGTAATGCCCAGCCCCTCCCCTTATCTCAGGATGGCCACACCCACCCCAGCCAGTCCTTTACCCCTAGTTGGCCCAAAGGGCACTCTAAGCAGGAGCACTTTTGACCCTATAAGAATGAACTTTGATATTGGCTTCCATATTCGTTTCTTATTCTGTAAAACAAATTACCCCAAACTTAGCACCCTAAAATAACATAAATGTATTATCTTACATTTCTGGAGGTCAGAAATCTAAAATGGGCCTCACAAGGCCAAAATCAAGGAGTCAGCAGGGCTACATTCCTTCTAGAGGCTCTAGAAGATAAACTGTTTCTTTGCCTTTTCCAGCTTCCCAAAGTTGCATGCATGCCTTGGCTTGTGGACTCCTTCCTTCATCTTCAAAACCAGCAGTGGACCATCCTCCAATCTCTGTCCCTCTCTCTCTTTCTCCCCGCCTCCTCTTCTCATTCAGATACTCTTGGTTCCCTCTTTCACTTATAAGGACACTTGTGATTACACTGAGCCCAACCAGATAATCCAAGATAACCTCCCCTCTCAAGATCCTTAGCCTTAATTACTTCTGCAAAGTCCCTTTGCCATGGAAGGTGACATGTTCACAGGTTTCAGGGATTAGGACATAGATACCTCTGGGGGGTGGGGGAGAGCATTATTCTACTTACTATATCTACTTTGCCGGTCTTATTTCATAGAATTATCCCACACTTTTCTGTGGGTTCCAGCCCCACTGGTGCTCTTATAATTCCTCAAGTGAACCATGGTTACCTCTGCCACAGGACCTTTACACATACAGGTCCCTCTGCATTCACCTGATTTCCCCTTAACCATCTTTCAAGCTACACCAAGTGCTCTGTTAAATACTCCATAGTATCACATACTTTTCTTAGCACACATATCCTGGTTTTCAGTTACACACGTTTTTGTGATTAATGTCTATCTCCCCCACTAGACTCTGAGCTCCATGGGAACAGAGGCCATGAATGCTTTTGCTCAGTTTTGCCCCAGAACCTAAAACAGAGATTATATAATATAATATGCATTTAATGAATATTTGAGGAATCGCTAAATTAGGCCAGTAGGTGATGACCGTCTGCCATCATGGGGGCCTGTGTGGAGTGACATCCCCCTACCCTGTCCCACACACACCAGGGTCCAAAAAAACTAACATTTACCAGAACCTACAGTAAGCTATAATTTGCCTTATCTCATCTAATTCCCATAACAAATTTCTATCATAATCCTCATTTTACAGATTAGGAACTGAAGAAAAGAGAGGTTTAAGAATTTACCCAAGAAGACATAACTGGTAGGTCATTGAATCAGGATTCTATCCCAGGCAGGTTGGCTTCCAAAGACCACACTGGGGCCCTGGGATTATTTTAGATGAGCACCTGGGTGGCTGGGACCATGAACAAACCCAGCTGAAACATCTGGTGAGGAGACCACACCAACACTCATACTCACGGGCCCAAATGCATCACACACAATAAACACCCCTTCCAACTTTTCTGTCAACTATTTGGGCAATTGGTGGAGGCCATTCACAGAGGACCCACAGTCTGATGCAAGCAGGTCAAATAAAGCAGTCTGAACACGACTGGTGTAAAAGCTCATGGCCCCTACTCGTGAAATGAGGTGGAAGGCAAGGACTTTGAAAAGTGTGGGCGTGCATAAAGCTCGCCAGAACATTCCCTTTCCTCCTCTGTTTTGTAATTGCTTTTTTTAAACTGACGTATAATTGACATATAACATTATATTAGTTTCAGGTGTACAACACACTGATAGATTCCCCTATTATTAATATTATTAATATTAGACTTTTCACAAGTCTATTTTTAAAATTTTTTCCCTTAATGGAGGCACTGGGGATTGAACACAGGACCTTGTGCATAACAAGCATATGCTCTACCCCTGAGCTATAACTCCCATTCTTCACAGGTCTAGTAATTAGCATTATTCCCCTATGATCTTGCTCTATTGTGACATACTTGTTACAACTGAGGAACCAATATTGATATATTATGAACTAAAGCTCATTGTTTACATTAGAGCTCACACTATGTTTTACAGTTCTGTGGGTTTTGACAGTTGCATAAGGAGGAAGGTATAGCTCAAGCGGTGGAGCGCATGCTTAGCACGCACGAGGTCCTGGGTTCAATCCCCAGTACCTCCATCAAAATAAATAAGGAAATAAATAAAACTAATTACCTCCCCCCACAACAAAAACAGACAATTGCATATCATAATTCTCCATTATAATAATATATAATATATGTAAATTTATATAATATACATTATATATAATAGTCATTATAATAATAACAATGTTATGTATTACCCATTACAGCATCACAGAATAGTTTCACTCCCCTGAAAATACCCCACACTCCACCTATTGATTCCTACTCCTCTCCTCCCGCTGCCACCCGCAAACACTTAGAAACCACTGATCTCTTACTAAGTTTTTAGCCAGAACCTTCCTTAATGCCACAGAGAGAGCTGTGAACCCCACAGAAGGGGAAAGGAGAAGCTAAGACATGACACAGATCCCTGCTGGCCTCCCCCTGAAAAGAAAAGAGAACCTAGCAAAGGGCGGAGACCCTGCTAGATTCCATCCGCTCAATGAGGATGTGGCACTGGGGTCAGTTCCTCCCCCCTCCCCCCTGCAGCCAAGGTAAAGAAGAGGCAGAAGTCCTACCCGGTTATTCGGTAACTCTCTTAACTAGGACAGTTAAATCTCCCTTCTAGACCATGGTGATGTGCAAACAAAATAGGACAACTGCAGTGGCACCAAAGAGTTTGCAGGGGCCTCTAGAAGACTCTGAAAACTTGGCTGAGCTTAGCATGGGAGGTGGAAGAAGACAGAGCTGCTCTAAGGTAACTATGTGCTGCTTGAGCCGAGAAACCAGATCAAGAGACGAGCCAGCCAAGACTGCAGCAGAGATGACCTGTCTCTTCGAGATGCATCTTTCAAGAAAGCAGAGGAGGGGTAGAGGAACCCCAGAAGCCCTTCAGGAACCCCAGAAGTTCCAACCTGGCTGCTTTTAGAAACTGAAAAAAAAAAAAGTTAAGTTGTTTGTTACACTGCAGAAGCAGGAAATAATAAGCAAATTAATTCTGGATTCACACAATGCCCAGTTCTCCCTGCAGTGGGAGGAACCCAGAGCACCTTCAGATCTCCTTCCAGTCTTTTCCATTTAAGGCCAAACCCCTGAGACAGGATGTTCAGGAAGATTTTCCAAAACTGGAATCCCTGCCTCCCTTCCCCAAAACAATTTCACTGATCAGCCAAGAAAGGGGAATGTGAGAGAATGATGACCACTTTATCCCATGAAACCCGGGAAACCTTCAGAAACAGAGTAGGGTCTGTTCACCTGCCCTATCAAAAGACCTAAGTGGGTACAATGTTTAATTTGGAATTAGCCATAGCGGGGGTTTGGGAGGCTTGCTTCACATTTACATTCTTTACTACTTCAGTTTCAGCCTATAGAGGTACATCCTTTATGACATAGAAGTCATATTAAACATTTGCTATAAGGATTCATCTAAATCAGAGAGAAAAATAAAATCATGGAAGAGCTCAAATGGAGCTTGAGGTTGGAAGGATGGGTATCAAATTGGAGATGGAAGGCAATAACTAGGCTGGGAGAACGTGGGTCCACACAGGTAACAGGAAGCATTGTCTCCAAGGAGTCCTGCTTATGAGGATGGCAAGGTAGGTCCTTGATCACCAGCTCAGAAATTTGGATATTTTCCTATCGTTTGAGAACAGTAAGCTGTAGATTTCCGAGCAGGAAATAGCTTGGAAGTTTTTCTCTTACCTCACAGGCAATTTCTACCTCTAGCAAATAAGCAGCTAAAACAAATTTATAAAATGTATCTATACATCAAGGAAGAAACCAATTCTTTCTCTTTTTTTTAACAACTCACATCAGTATCATTAATTAGCATTAATATAGAAAACTGTTTATAACTTGCATTTAACTTCATTGGATTTTTACCAGGTAGCCCAAGTTAGCCCGTCAAAACTCTCATAGTGGAATCAAGCATGACTTCAACAAACAATTTTAAATTAAAGCACAAAACCCAAGGATAATTCATGAATGTGTTAGCTTTTCTCTCCAGAGCGATTGGCTGGTTTTAGCCATAACATATCAATTTTCAGAGAAACAAAAAGTACCTAGGACGTGCCCTCGTGTCTGGGATTACCGTCAACTCAGTTGAAACAAATTCTAAGTTCTGCCTCTAATGCTTCTTTTCACAGGTTTAAAGGATGCACTTTGGAGTTTTGCACTGTTGGACATCCAATTTATGTGGTTTTGAGGAGCTGCTAAGCAGTGTATCTTCCATCCATTTTAACGATCAAAACTGAATTCCACTGTTAGTATTGTACTATTCTGTACCACCAGTTGCAGACAAGGTGAAAATGGGACATATCTACAGCCCGTTTTATTAAAAGGGGTTGTAAACAAACTACTCTGCATAGAGCCCTACAAGTTGAGTCAGGCTTTGGGGGTAAAATATGATAAAACATGAGACTGAAACCAGCCTGCCTACACAGGGGTACCCTCCAAGAGCTTCAAAACATCAGAGTGAATGAGGGAGAACGGCCTCTCCTCAAACAGACTCACAAACCGGAACCATCCTAAAGGAGGTCGTGGCCATTGTATGAATTCAAAATTAATTTGCTTTATTATTTCCAGTGGCTGCAGTACAACCAACAGCTGACTCTTTTTTTTTTTTTTCAGTTTCTAAAAGCAGCCAGGTTGGTGGTGGTTGTCGCCATGAACATCCCATGAATGATTCATTCTCGCTCAAGTGGAACCCGTGGGAAATGTAGCCAATAACTTGGTTTATTTCTTATCTTCAGTTCTCAGCAGACAACGTGTTTGTCTATATTTTTATAAAGGGTCATAAATTTTTCAGTTAGTGTACAAATACCAACACCATGTGATTCCATTTGGTTTCAGTCCTCGGGGCTTTGGAGAGAGGAGAAGGAAGACCCCACCATCTTGAGCAACAGCGTGGACCACACTTCCTGCAGCATTCTGGGAAGTCTGGCTCAGTGACGTGCACAGTTATAAATCCTTTGCTGCAACACCAACACAGCAGGTGGCGTTTAGCCAGATGACTCCCACTGACTTTCCCCTTTCAACGCTGTTGCAGGAAACTGAGATGTTTAGCCATGTTTCCCCTGCAGGGCTCTCAAAAGCCAAATGAACCCAGCAGCGTGGGGCAGCCTGAGTGTAGGTATGTGTGTGTGTGTGTGTGTGTGTGTGAACCTCTTGTTCAAATTGGGCAAATTACTTGGGCAGATTACTTCACTCATATGTGAAATTGAGGAAACACCTTCCAGGATTATTTTGAAGCTGAATTAAAACACTGCATCATCAGTGCCTAACACAGCACTGCACACAGTAGATCCTCAACAAATGTCATCTCTCAAATTGCTTTCAATTTCCCCATGAAAACGATTTCACCGAAAGGGGAACCTCCATACTTGCCTTACTACCGAGGCAGGAATTACAAGCACACTTATTTGCTGATCTCAAACCTAATTTTGACGTAAATTCAGTCTCAGTTGAAGCCATACCAGCAATCCACAAAAAAGATGTATCTGAACTACAAAACATGAGCCTCTACTTTATTGAGGTCCAGTGTAAAGCCACCTAAGTGGCCAGAAAATGTTCCCTATTATAGGATTTCTCAAAGAGTAAAAAAAACTGGGCCCTGTGACTGAGTGACTGCGCAATGGAACCAGCCGTGGATTAACGAGACACCATCCAGAGCCTGGCAAAGCTCTCCTGTGCTGTCAGGTGGCCATCAGGAAGTACTCATGGAGGTATCATTTTCAGCCCCCAGGGGTCTCTGTCACAGAAACCCAACGCCCCCCCGGCCTTGGGCTTACAGCCTGCCTTGCTGTGGCCTTTCACCAGACCCACTAAGAGACCAACATTTGCTAATGTCACCCAAGGACAACATCACCTGCTTTTCCCTCAGTTCTAAGGCTTGGTGGGGGGGACATACTTTCTGCTGCCATCCTACACTTCTAGCCCTAGACACATTCTGCTCTCCAGTCAACCTTTTCCCAGCATTACATGCATTTCAGTATTTTTTTTTCCTTCTTGGATGAAGAAAAACATTCATTCCAAGACACGTTTTTGAAGCAATAAACAGCTCGCTTCTTTGTGGAAAAATAGGCAATTTTCAAGTAACCTTTGGAAGCCTCTAAATAACCCACACATATTTATGGCTGAGTGACTCTTTGGAGTGAAGAAACTTTAAACTTGTATTTGCAAAGATTTCCATTAACATCATTGAGCAACCTCTCATCTCATTTTAAAACACATGGCTCACTCAACAGAAGAGAATCTGGGTTGTTTTTTTTTTCTCCCCTCCCTCGGCTTGGCTTCCTAAGCAGAGATTTGATGTGCGCACGAAACACTAGTGGAAGTTCAATTGGCAAATCTTCACCCAGAGGTCTCGGGGTCCTAGGAGTGAAGACAAAAGCCTTCGTGCTGTCCAGGGGCAGGCTTTTTTGTCTCATTTTAGATGAACCTCCATTTCACCTCACCCCCACTCCTTCCTTCTTGCAAGAATAATTCCCCAAGGGGAAGTGAAAGGGCTCTCATCTTTCCACCACCCCCACACTGCACAGAAAGCACTGTTTTTAAAGGGTTTGTTCTCAGGAGAAAATGCCATAAGCTATATTTATCTCTTACTAATCCATTTCTCTCTACTTCGAGATTAAGGAATTAATGACTGCTACAGCTGCTGTCCTGAGCACATTAATTATTGTAAATTGGCTGCAGCCTCAAAAAAAGCCACTCAACAACAACGGTGAGAGGGCAAGGTTTATGCAAAGCATCAGAGATCTAACCTAAATAATAAATCAGTGCAGCCATCGAGCCCAAAAAGATATACAC